TGACCCCACTGCTGTGGGGCTGCAGCAGTGACCTCACTGAGGCTGCTGTCTCTCTCTCTGCACTGCCATCACCTTGGAGCTTAGAGAAATGTCCATCTTTTGTAGTTCTCCATCTTCTGCATCCTGAAGGACCAGGTGACCAAGGCCTGGGATGATCCCACCCACCTGCAAACATGAGGTGTCTGGTAAAGCAGTTCTGGTTCCCTTGTGCCCAGGAGGCATCTCCTCTCCTCCCTCTCAGTCCAAGGCTGCACTGCCTTGTGGAGGTGCCCATCCCTCTCCCTCAGCAGAGGATGGCTGGGGCAGGCTGTATCCCTGCTGTAAATGAAGGAGTTCTTCCCTCAACAAGCCCAGCCTGGAAGCTGCTCTCCCCCTGGGGATAGAGCAACAAGTGCCCAGTGCCTCTGGCCACCAGCAGGGACAGCTGCAGATGGGATCCTCCAAGGCCTGAGGAACTTGGGAACAGGTTTGGATGTTCCAAACGAGTTCTTTAACAGCTGGGCAGAGGCAGGTGTGCTCAGAGTGAACAGAGGAGCTCTGTGGCTCAGGGAGGCAGTGCTGGCCCCGCAGTGCTGTAAGGACAAAAGCACAGTAACAAGGAATTAACTCTGCTATTAGACACCCTTGTTCTAATAGCTCCATCATTAATAACAATTTGATCTCGCTCAGGCAGCCCTTTTCATCTGCAGAGCATGTCAGTCCCTCTGTTTCAGCTCCTGGCAGGCAGGTGTGTCACACCAGCACCTTTGGGCTTTTACAGCACCAGGAGCTCAGGATGGAATTGCTCCAGACCCTTTACCAGGAGCTGATTGATGAGGTACACCCTGAAAGAACCTGGTTATTTTTATACCCTACCTACTACACTCAGGATTCCCATCTTTTTCACCTATTGGCAGTTCATGATGGCACAAATTAATTTTCTTGCATCACTTAACACACTGCAGATTGTTTAACATAATTTTCCAAAGCATCTGGCTGGTTCTCCTGCACTGAAACTCAATGGGATTTTTCCCTCTAGCTTCAAAGAGCATAGCTGAGCCCTTAAAGGGATTTACTTCTGTTAAATATTATCCTCAAAACTGAGAAATTAAAAGCAAATGAGCTTTCTTCCTTTTTCCTCTAAGACATGTCAAAAGAATATTATAAAATAGAATAGCCTTCCCCAGCCTTCAGAGACTCCCCAAGTGAATTTCAATTGCAGGTTTTTAGGAAAGAGTGTAATTAACAACTTTATTCAGTCTGAAGCTAGAAAATACATTCTATATTTAGCATGAAAAAAAGCAGAGCAGGAGGAGGGGAGTAAATGACCTAGATTTTCACAAATGACAAATGACTCCAAGGTGCTTGGAGCCCCCTTGGTTGGCAGGGATTCCCACGAAGTGCAGAAGGATTTCTCCTCCTTGTCTCTCATGTTGGACATTCCAAACCACCCAAGGCATTCTCGGAAATCCAAGGGGTTCTATTTGTGAAACTGTTTATTTATTCACCTTGGGTAATATTCCCAAAATTGCATCCATAACCAAGCAATTAAATCCCATTTTCAGCAGCAACCTTGGTGTGCTGGCAGCTCTCCTAATTTCCAACACTGCCCACTTTTCTGAGCTTCCTTCATTGTTTTCCTGGAAATGTGTGTGATGAGAGCACCTCCCACCAGGAAAAATGGGGAAAACAAGGCATGACTGAGCTCCCATTTCCAGAATGTCCCTTGCTATATTTGCATTTTCTTGTCTTTCAGCATTCTGTTTGCCACGATAAAGGCAACATTTTCTATAAAAAGCAAGAGCCTGCTTGCCTACCAGCAGTTTTTCTGTCTAAATGCTGATAATCTCTGTTCTGTCAAAGGAAACATCCAATGCTTTTATCTCTTGGAATGGTTATTTATGGAGAGGTCTCTCGAAGATGCAATCAAAGATACAGACATTAAAAATAGGAGGCGAGTGAGTCCTGCAGGCGTTGTTTATTCATTAACCTCGGTGCAGGAATCCTGGCAGCCTCCCAGTCCCTATTTACTGTGTGCTGGGCACGGGAGGGATGGAGCTGCAGTGCAGTCCCGGGAGAGATGATCCATCCTTCCCAGGGGAGGTGAT